GAGTGCCTGGCACACAGTAAGGGCTGTGTAGGTGTCGATCTGTCACTACTGTTACTTTTAAAGAAGGGTTCTGGGTGACATGGGAAGAGAGGGCTTCCCTCTCCTCAGAAAGCTTAGACCTGTGTCCCTTTTTCCCATCTACTAGTCTTCTTCCTGGTTTCGGTGGAGATTTGGACACCAGCAGGGTCCCGATACTGGGATGGAGATCCGTAGGGAGAGGTCAGCCCCTTGCTGTTTCTTGGGGTCCTCAAGGGGATTACCGTTTGACTGGACGATTTCCCACTTCTCAGATGTGGACCGTCCAAAGGACACAATGGTGTCGAACCTGACCCTGAACTTCGGGCCCCAGCACCCGGCAGCCCATGGTGTCCTACGGCTGGTGATGGAACTGAGTGGGGAGATGGTGCGGAAATGTGACCCTCACATCGGGCTGCTGCACCGCGGCACCGAGAAGCTCATTGAATACAAGACCTACCTACAGGTGTGGCGTGGACACGGGCCTGGGACTTTGCCGGTTCTCTGCCCCCAGAACCCCGGCGAGGAGGGTTTTGAGCGGGGAGCCCTTGGAAGTTATTAGGGCAGTCTTGGTTGAGAGGATGCATGGATGTGGTGGGGACGCATGACTTAAATCATCTGGTTTTGATTTATCCAGCCGAAACGCTGTGCAGCCCGAGCTGTGCTCCCCGCGTGCTCTGGATGGCTTGTGGCTGGCCCCTTCCCCCTCACTGTGGCGCCTCGGTCTCCCTGCTCATACGAGTGCGTCACAGCCACGTCCCTGGGGGCGGGGGCAGAGGAGAGAGACGTCAGCTCCCTCGGACTAGCAGCTGATTCTCGTATCTTTCGGCTGTCTAAGTTTGTTTTCCAAATGCTCAGTGAGTCATAGTGACTGGGACGGGCTTTGTGAAAGAGCTGGCCATTTTTAGGATAACTGTGCGACCCAGGTGGCGAGGGTCAGATCCGAAGGAACTGGACCTGGGACTCGGCTCTGGAATTTCCTTACTGTCATGAAGAAAGGTCTCGATGGCACAGGCTGATGGGCTTAGGGTTTAGGACCAGTGACCAGAATGTGACTCCCCTGGAGAGTCCAGGCAGTGTGGCTTCTGGTCCCAGCGTCCATGGAGTTAACCCGCGTCACCGTGACGCCAGGACGAGTTGGCTATCTCAGAGGGCGCGCCCCAGCTGCCTCCTTCCTGGAAGCTGAGGCTGCTGCAGCCGACGCTGGGCCTTAGGTTCTCGGCATTGGGGAAGAACTTTTCCTCCCAGAAACAAATCCCACCCTCCTGGGTGGTACTCTGTGTTCTCCCGCCCTCACTGGCCGGTGCTCCTATGACCGGTGACCTTTCTCCTCCAGTGTCTCCGGAAGCCGCCTTCTTTGACGGGTGGCCAGGGCTGTTGGCAGTGGCTGCTGGAGCCAGCTCACAGGCTCACATGGACACATTGTTACAGTTTCAGAAATTTTGTGTGCAAGTTGTTGCTAGTCTATGATTGAATGTCCTATGTTCAAAACCAAGGTGGAAAGGACTCAAAACTGATCACTTCCTATTTTACTACATTTCACTTGTGCTGTGCCCGGGCTCTTTGCTTTGCTTCCTCTGTGGGGAACAGCTGGCGTGGCCACCCGCCCTGCCCGCGGCTGCTCTCCACTAGGGTCTGGTGGGGGGATTTTCACCGTGGAGACTGGCAAACACGGCAGATCGAATCCCCTGCCCCAGCACACGACTGATCACTGGGTGTCCCTCCTGCCCTGACATGGGACCCAACCCCCACCCCCAGGCCCTCCCATACTTTGACCGGCTGGACTACGTGTCCATGATGTGTAACGAGCAGGCCTACTCACTGGCCGTGGAGAAGCTGCTCAACATCCAGGCCCCGCCGCGGGCTCAGTGGATCCGCGGTAAGCCCTGGCCCCTGCTCCGTCCCCCGGCCACGCAGCACGGCCTACTGCTTGTGCCCGCGGTGCCAAGCCCGTGTCCCTCTCGTCTCACCGTTCACAGTGCTGTTTGGGGAGATCACACGGCTTTTGAACCACATCATGGCTGTGACCACACATGCCCTGGACATCGGGGCCATGACCCCTTTCTTCTGGATGTTTGAAGAAAGGGAGAAGGTATGAAGGAGACAGAGCAAGACGAGAACGGGGGCGTGGGGACGTAGGGAGAGCACTGAGGAGGAGAGGCGTATTTTACCTGGGTTGTGTTCTTGAAGACTGTCACAAGGGGCAGGGGCAGGGGCAGGAGAGCCGACCACTGTGTGGTTGGACTCAGGGGCCCAGGACTTTGTCACTGATTCCCCGTGTGTCCTATCAAGATGTTTGAGTTCTACGAGCGAGTGTCGGGGGCTCGGATGCATGCTGCTTACGTCCGCCCAGGAGGAGTGCACCAGGTGAGAGGCCCCGCCCCCCGCGGCTGCCAGTCCAGCTGCGTCCTCTGCTGGCACAGCTGCCCCCACCTCCTTGGGATGCTCTGCTGCGCTCAGTCACCCTTGTTGGGCTTCTAGGACCTACCCCTTGGTCTTATGGACGACATTTATGAGTTTTCTAAGAACTTCTCTCTTCGAATTGATGAGCTGGAGGAGGTAAGGTAGGAGTCAGTGGGAAAAATCTCTTTTTTCCCCTGGAAAGGCTTGCGGGATTTTAGTCCCCAGTTCTAAAGAAACAGTGGCACCTGCGGTGTTGTGAAGGCGTTGACACGCGTCTCTTCGTGAGCAGATGCTGACCAACAACAGGATCTGGCGGAATCGGACAGTCGACATAGGAGTCGTGACAGCGGAGGATGCACTTAACTACGGTTTCAGGTGGGGGAATGAGACTTGTCCGCTAGACGTGGGAGGTCCCAGCCTGACATCTTGGCTTCAGGAACTGGGTGCCTGCCTTGCCACACTGAGTTTGTGCCCAGAGTGTGGGGGGACGGGGGAGACTGAGACGAGGGCACCTCCTCCCTGCTGTATGCAAGTGGCCTGGTCCCCACCACATCCCTCACAGTGGAGTGATGCTGCGTGGCTCAGGCATCCAGTGGGACCTTCGCAAGACCCAGCCCTATGACGTGTACGACCAGGTGGACTTCGATGTCCCTATTGGCTCCCACGGGGACTGCTATGACAGGTGAGGCCCAAGTCCTTCCTGGGCTCCTGTCAAGCTCTGTCCCCTAACTCCTCTCTGCTCCTCTCTCCTTCCTTGGGTCTCGCGGTGTCCGGGAGCCTTTCGCACGCAGCCTGTGCACACACGCAACACTAACCTCACCTCACCTTGGCCTCGTGTCTTGGGTGGGACCAGGTGTGGCTGTGTTTATGGCTGAGGAGGAGGCCGAATTAGAGGCTGGCCGGAGCTCTGTGAGACTCCGCTGCTCCGCGTGCTAAGCCTCAGGCCACATTCCTGTGCCCTGGCCCTCCGCGAGATTGGCTGCCGTTTCTTTTGGAGGCTGACTCTCACCTGCACTGTATCCGAAACGTGTCTGAGAGGGTCAAGGGGAAATGCTGCCGGCGTCTGAGCACCAGGAGAGGCCGGGGGCCCAGTCCCAAGTCGGAAGACGCTGGTCCCCTGCGGCAGCCCGGCCACCCTGCCAAGACAAAGCAGCGGGCAAGGCTCCTGCTTTGCGCATGTTGTGACCACGCCTGTCGCCTGCCCCGTCCCCATCAGGTACCTGTGTCGGGTGGAAGAGATGCGCCAGTCCCTGCGGATCATCTTGCAGTGTCTGAACAAGATGCCTCCTGGGGAGATCAAGGTGGACGACGCCAAGGTGTCCCCCCCTAAGCGGGCCGAGATGAAGGTCAGTGCTGGGGCCGATGGGGCCTTGGACAGGCCAGAGGCTCAGAACCTCACTGTGTTTTCCGTTTCCAAGGAATTCTCTGCGTGTTTCTTGCCTCCTGTAGCCCCTCTCTGCTCACTGCGTGGTCCCCCTGAGCACAGAGGTCACTTTCTGTGCTGGGCGTGGCTACGAGGCAGTTGGGTCTGGTTTATTGGTGTTCCCGTTCCCTTTCCAGACATCTATGGAGTCCCTGATTCACCACTTCAAGTTGTACACGGAGGGCTACCAGGTCCCTCCGGGGGCCACGTACACTGCCATCGAGGCTCCTAAGGTGAGAGGGGGAGGCCGTGGGCCGGGTGACTGGAGACGGACGTCCGGACAAACACCCGTGCCCGGAAATGGTGCGAGGGCGCGTATGGGCGTGGCTGGCGAAGGAGAGTGTTGTCCTGGTCACGGAGGTGGCCCCCTTCTTCCTCGGACAGGGAGAGTTTGGGGTGTACCTGGTGTCCGATGGCAGCAGCCGCCCTTATCGATGCAAGATCAAGGCTCCCGGTTTTGCCCACCTGGTAAGAACCAGTCCCAGCGACTCCAGCGATGAGGGGCCTTGGCTAAGACTGCCCGGACTCCCCTCCCCCCGGCCCTGCAGATGCACCTGACACCATTGCTGTCTCCACCTTTGCAGGCTGGTTTGGACAAGATGTCCAAGGGGCACATGTTGGCGGACGTCGTTGCTATCATAGGTACGAGCCTGTTGAGTGGTAGAGATGTCTTGGGGCCGGGGGTGGGGACAGATTCTGCACACTTCCTGTTCACAGGGACTCTGGACGTGACCCCTGAGCCCATTTCCTGGGCCCAGCAGTGAGTTCGGGGTCCTGGGTGACGCCACTGTTCTCTCTTGCCCTGACTTCCCAGGAACCCAGGACATCGTGTTTGGAGAAGTAGATCGCTGAGCGGGGCAGCGTTCCGTCCACTGCCCATCGAGTTCCTCTGCGGGGCCTGTCGTCACCGGAGATGGGGCTCTGTGTGTGTGTGTGTGTGTGTGTGCGTGTGCGCGCGTGCGTGCGTGCACGTACATGTGCGTATGTGTGTGCGCACCAGGAAAGGAGAAATCATAATAAATTAGCCACCTAGGCCCCTGGGCCACAACTTCTGGTATGTCGTTCCAGTTTCTTCCCGTCTCGTTTTGATGGGAACCTTGAGTGTCTTGTTGACCCTCCACTTCTCTGTCAGACGGTTCTCAGTAGATTTTCCTGCCCACGCCTTCTCTGACTCTCGTCCTTTCCACTTCTCCATTCCCCATTTCCTCTTTCCCCTCAGTTCCCCCGCCCAGACCCGCTGCCCACACACACGATGGCAGACTCCTCAAATCAAGACGGGGCGCAGTTCCCGCTGGGAAGGGGCTGTCCTGGGCTGCTGGGGAATCTCAGGTGGCAGTTGATCGCCAACGTGTGTTGACAGGGCTGGGGGAAAGGGCGGGTGGGACAGCCTTTGCCCAGGATGACAGCCCCTCCCTGTGGCAGCAGGGCCTTGGTACTGACGGGCTGAGGCGGAAGAGCCCAGATCTTCAGCTTCCTTAGTTGGCCTTTCCGGGAGCCGCTTGGCCTCTAGTGCAGGAAGGGGAAGGGGCCGAAGCTGGGGAAGGCGTGGCAGGAAGGGGGAGACTCTGTGGTCAGGGAGCTGCTGGCAGAGCACAGCTGTACAGTGCCCTCAGAGCGTCTGCGCCCAGCTCACGGCCCGCGGCCCGGCCCAAGATGAAGCCCGCCGTGGTCTTGCTCTTGCTCCTTCTGGCTGAACGGGCAGGTGAGGTTTGCTGAGGGACAGCGAGCGGGTCTCCAGGTGGGCGGCCAGGGCACACGTCAGGACCAGCAGTGGGCAGACAGGCCCAGAGCCCCCGAGACTTGGTGGTACGTGGTCCCCATCAGGGCACGAGAGCCACGGTCACCCACTCTCGCATCCCCTTCAGGATGGACGCACGCCTGAGACCTCACTGGCAGGGGAGGGCGTGTGTGACGTGAAAAAGGGTCTGGGAAAAGCCACGTTGCCCATGACCGCAGTTCCTGGGGCCTTTGGTCATTGCCATGGCGCTGATGTCCAGTCACTCACAAAGCCCCTCCAGAGGGGCCTGTCCTTGTGCTGGGGGGTGCGGCAAGGACAGACCGATGCAATCGCTGCTTCTGCGCGTCGTCACAGGCACCCGTCTGCGGCTCGTGGCAGGGTGGGCAGCACGCGGTGCCCCATGCTGCAGACCGGAGCGCCAGTGAAGTGAGGCCGCGATGGGAGGTCTCGTCCGCGTCCGTGAACTGTCACTTCTTGCTCTCGGGTGTCTCGTGTGAATGGTTTGAAGACGGGTGGTTGAGGTTGGGGGTTGGGGAGGAGGGGGTCGGCGAAACTTGGGGGAGTTGGGCGAATTGAAAGAGACAGCCAGAGGAGCCGCAGCAGCCTCGGTGTGGAGGTGGAGGGAGAGGGGCCGGGGGCGCCGAGCCTCCAGGGGAGGGCGCGTGTCCGCGGAGCCCGGGATCTACTGCCGGCCCTGTCACGTAGCTCTGTGGCCTTCAGCGAGTTACTTAGCTTCCCTGGATCTCCATTTCATCACCCATAAGATGGCCACGACGTTCTCCTTACGGGCAGTTCTCAGATTTAGACAGCATTGCGTGTGACAGGCATCTCTGGGTAAAAAGTTCTACATGGCACCTGTCACGTGCTCAGGAGCCTTCGGACAGGGCCCAGGGTGGATGGGCAGAGAGGATTTCTGACCCCATTTGATATTTTAGTTGCGCAAACTCCCTCTCAGTGGCCCAGGGTGAGTCACAGCGCGGAGTCTCCACAGAGCCCCTGAGATGGAGTCCCCCAGCTGTGCTTGTTCCTTGGAGCCCTGTGTGCAGTGCTCCCGGCACCCACGAGGCCTAGGAAAGGAGATGCTCCGTGTTTACGTCACTACGTGCCCGGAGAGACAGAAAGCCATGAGGCTGAGGCTACATGACCACTATAATAGAGCGATGGCCTTCCCGCCCTTCCCCAGCTCACATCCTTCCTGTCCAGCTCTCAGCCACAGGTCACAGGACTCAGCAGAGACACTGCTGTGGTTTTGTCACTGAAATTTGTCACTGCCTCCGCCTCCCCCAACTGCTCCAGGCTGAGGTTTTGCTCTTTGCCCAGTGAACTCAGATGGGTCCCCTGAGGGCTGCAATGTGCTTAATGGTGCCTGAGGAGCCCGCAGTGCTGGAGGCAGGGGAGTCCTCAACACGAGTGCGTGTCAGTCTCCGACCATGGGGTGAGGGAGCAGGGAGCTGAGAGATGAGGCTCCAAAGAGGACAAAATCCCTTCCCTGGAGCACCCCCCTGATGCCCCAACCCCTGGGCACCCCCTGTCCTCCAGCGGCCTTGGGAGAGCCTCAGCTCTGCTACATCCTGGACGCCATTCTGTTTCTGTATGGCCTCGTCCTGACCTTGCTCTACTGCCGGCTCAAGGTGAGGCTGGGCAGGTGAGGGGGGAGGGTGGCGGCCATGTGGCTCTAAGGACAGGAAATGAAGGGTCCCCACAAGGCGGCAGGGAACGGGGACTGGCCGCTCGCCTTGCCTCTCCTGAGTACCTTTCTTCCACTGCAGATCCAGGTGCGGAAGGCAGCCGTGGCCTACGAGGTATGGGCCCTGCTCCTGGGGGGTCAAGGGTTCCGCAGACTCAGCCCTCCGGGGCCTTCGCCTTGGGGTCTGCGGCGCCTGGGTGGGCATGAGTCTCAGGTGCTGATCTGCCCAAGATGCGGGGACTGCCAGCCACCTCACACTTCCCCCCTGCTATCTAGCCAAGGCAGGAGTAAGATACTCAGCAGGTGACGGGCAGAGTAAAGCGGAGTGACGAGTCCCTGAGAGTTGTGTGCGGTGTGTACGTGTATGTGTGTGACAGAGGTGCATTCGTACCCCAGTGTTCAGTGACTGCCCCCCAGACGAGGGGGCTCGCCAGCCCTGGCCGGCTGCCCTGGGTAGGGAGGAGATGCTGAGGGGCCCTAAGGGAGGGGTGGTCTCTGATGCCAGCCCCTTTGCTTCCACAGAAATCGGAGGGCATCTACACGGTGAGTGAGCCAGCCCCAGCCCAGTCCAGGACATCAGCAGAGGACAGTGGATGCTGAGTGACCTTTGGAAGGCGCAGGGTCTGTGGGGTGGAGGGGCTCAGGGTGGCTCCCATTCCTGACCCCCCTCCCCTGGCTCTCCTCCTCCAGGGCCTGAGCACCCGGACCCAGGAGACCTACGAGACCCTGAAGCATGAGAAGCCGCCACAGTGACTGTGGACAGGTGCCTGTGGACAGGTGCCCGTGGCCATGTCCTCGCTGCTCCTGGCCCCCATGGGTGGCACCACATTAACAGCAGCCACCCCTGCCCCTGTGAGGATGCCACGCCCCACTGGCGGACACGATGGTGCCTGCTCCCTGTCAGACCCAAGCTCAGCCGCTCCTCACTAATGCCCGCGAGTCAGCCCCGCTGAGCGCTCCCTTCCCCTCCTTCCCACCCCCAGCCCCCCCAACACTGCAGAGGGGGCGCGAGCAATAAAGCTGCCACACGCCACGCCCTGTGCATTCATTCATTCATTCGCCACGCAGTTAACCAGCCACAGGACACACTGGGCTGGACACAGCGCTGCTGAGTAAGGCCAACCCTGTTTCTGACTTTGCAGAGCTCACAGCCCCAAGGACACCAGGCTGTGCTGCTCCACTGAGGGGTGAACCCCTGACCCCGAGTTCTCCAGCGCAGGGACGGAGTGGGGGCTGCTGTGTGGGGACTCCAGGCACATTCAGAGTGACTCTGGCTGTCCAGCCCCAAAGAGTGACCGGCTCACAGCGGGCTTCGGGTGGGGCAGTTTACAGTGTCCGCGTGTCTGGAAGCCAAACGTGCAGGAGGGACACCGTGACAGGCGCGTGCGAAGCTCCTGAAGGAAGGTCTCATGGGAACAGTGAATTCTCTGGGCTCTGGGGCAACGGGGACCTTCGGGGGCCAGGTAGGTGTCAGAGGGGGTGAGGCAAAGGGGACAAGTCAGGCCCAGAAGGGAGGGCAGCTCGCAGAGGGCGTGGGTGGCGGCTAAGGAATCCCCGTGGACAGTGCCTGTCCTGTTTCCAGCTCTGCCAGGAGGGAGGACTCCTGGAGATATTTGAATCTCATCTGATGCTTCCAATCCTGCCTCTGGGCCCGCAGCTGTCACAGTGGGTCCCTGTCTGCAGGCTTACCCCAGCCATCCCTGTGCTGGGCACCACTCTACTCGTAACGACTCACACTTTTCGGCATGTTTTCCAGCTCACGGTGCCAATTGATCCGCTCACAAACCCTGTGAGGATTCTGGCTCTTTGAAGTTTAACCTGTCCAAGGTCATCTTGCAGGTGACAGATTGAGAACCTGTTCCATGCATTTTGCCACATGAGAAAAAAACGGAAAGAGGAGGAAGAGGGTCGCAAGTGGTAAGGGTCTTGAAGGCCAGACTGAAGGTCGATCAACATGCAGAAGAAATCGGAGCTGGTCTGGTGTCCGGGGAGGGCGATTTCAGAGGAAATCTGAGTCAGGGTACGGAAGTCGCCGTGTTAGAGGCAAAGTGGGGGTCACGTTTACTGGAAAATGCCTCGTTTTCCTTTGTCCTAATTGTGGGATTCCGAGCCTCCTGTGCCAGCCCAGTCTGGTTTCGGTCCCTCTTTGCTCTCCTCTGGGTACCACGGCTCCCAAGTCAGTCTGGAGAGCAAGCTGGAGACCTGCCCCACCCTGAACTGGCTTAGGCGTCTGCTTGTTCCCAGCTCCCAGTGGCCAGATAACAGTGGGGAGAGGAGTGAGGGCCGATGTCACTGCAGGGGGGTGGTGCACATGAGTGGAGGGAGGGCCTTGGGCGACACCACTGGGTTCACTTTTTGGAAGCTCTCTGCTCTGTGCAGGATGATTGGGAGGAGATTCCGAGGGTGCCCTCATCTCCCGTGACCTGCACGAGTCCAGGGATTCAGTTTGTGACTCTTGCGTCCCCTTCACTGTTCCTGTCCAAAGCAAAGCTCTCCAGTCTCCACTGCAGAGCTGTCCCCAGGCCCGCAGGAAGCTTCCGGGTTTGGAGCAGAATCGCAGGAAGGACCCGTCATTTCTGACTTTGTCTCTTCAACCCTTTCTCCACCCCTTCGCACCAAGGCCGCTCTCCTACCGGATCTCTCTGTGTCCTCCTTTCCCCCGCCGCCAGTCCTCAAAAAGAGCAGGCTCACCCCTCAACTCTTGTAATATTTATTGTAGAAACAAGGAGTGGGGACAGAGAGGGCTCTGGAGCCAGCTGGAGATGAAAGACAACAGACGCCTCACTGGGAAGCTGGGGCTGGTGTTTTGAGGTCCGTGAAGTAACTGAAGAAGTGAATCAGATCATTTCCAGCCTTCTTGACCAGGGGTGTCAGCTGCTCCTGTGTCTTCTCCAAGTAAGCCCTGGATATGTGAGGGGTTCGAGGTCAATGTGAGGGACCCAAGGCACTGGCAGGGGCCTTGGTGATGGTGGGAGATGAGACCCAAGTCCCCAGACTCTAGCGCCTGGTCCATGCTGGCACAGCAGAGCTCCTAAGAGGAGAGGCAAGCCCTCCAGGAGGCAGAAGGCACACCCTAGAGACAGGATCCAAAGCCCAGCTCCTGCGGCCCACCTGTCCACCGGGCCCGTGGGGCTGGGGTGGTGAGGCGGTTGTCCTCTCTGATTTAACCTCAGTCTCCCGAACTCCCACCCCAGCTCTGTCTTCTGTGAGATTGCCATCTTCCCTTCTTTCCCTCCATAGCCCCTGAGCCTGGCCCCCCACGGCTGAGACTCACTGGGCCTGGAGCTCTGAGCCCTTGGCCTTGTCCACCAGGTCCTTGCCATAGTCAGCCACAGTCTGGAAGTACTGAGAGAGCAGCCCCTGCACATTCGACTCCTCCGCCTGCCTTCGAACCAAAGCCCCTGCACACTGACACACACGCGTCTTCTCAGCTGGTCTCCAGCAGCCAGTCCCGCCCCCTGCTACCCATGGCAGTGCCCAGCCCCGGCTTGCAGCCCCACCCCAAACGGGTCTCCCGCTCCTGGTCTTTGGAGGGGAAACGCTCCTCCTTTTGAGCCTCTGCTTGCCAGGCCTGGGCACGGGACTGGCAGATGGGTACCCAGGACCCCCAGCACCTTCCCCTCCTTGGGACCCCACTCCATGTCACACCCACCTTCGAGGCTGCAGATGGTGAGGAGCAGCACAGTCACCGCAAGCAGCTTCATGATGCCGATGCCGGGGAAGGTCGCTGTGAACAGGTGGGGGTTGAAGAGGACACTGAAGCAGATGGGCCTCAGCCCGTCCCCGGGGACCCCTACACAGGCGCTTGTGCCAACTTAGCCCCTCCCTCCCCACGATTAAAACCTGGCCTTTCGGATGCTGCCCACAGCTGGTGCCCCCTGAGTCTACCGGGTCAGTGCCTCTGTCCCTGCTGTCTGTGTCTGGTCTGGCTGGGGAGGCAGGGGCTATATACTTGTCTGCTTCCCCACTCCCCTGTCAGGTGACAAGGATTGTGGAGAGACCCGCTGGGGCAGGGGCCATGTTGGAGTAAACAAGGTGGAGCTGGGGGAGGAGAGGGTAAGCCCGTGGGGCGCTCATGGTGACAGGGTGGGAGGCTGGCATGCGGGCTTTGGTGGAGGCCAAAGGGAAATACTTCAGGCATATTCGAGATTCGTTCTCTGGAGTCTGGGGCAGCAGTCCTCGGCTCTGAGGGCTGCAGGAAGCAGGAGCACTAGGCTTTCTCCGGAAGGCTCTGACGTGTCCAGCCCTCAGCCCTGGGGAAATTTGTCCCATTATGGGTAGATTTCGTCTCCCTAATCCTACCCCCTTCACTGCAACTTGGTAGAGAAATATTGGGGGACAGAAGAAAGGAGAAAGGAGCTGAAATTAGGGGCAGGAGTGAGGGGCAGAGGGCGACTCTGTCGCTTCTCGAGTTCATGTGTGATGAGACGGGGCTGGCGTGCTGGCGTGCAGGTGGGGGCCGGGCGCCGGGGGCCATGCGAACTAGGCTTCCGAAGAAGTCCTCCTAGTCGTTCCCTCCGCCGCTCTCCTCAAAAGGCAGAGGAGGGGAGCTTTAGCGGCCCAAGCTCCAAGACGCTCCCTCTAGTGTCCTGAACGCTCCCAGGCCGAGCGACCTAAGGCCATCACTCACTGAGTTAAATCTCGGGGCTGTCACCGAGCCCCGTCCACCTCTGCAGCTGCGGCCGGGGCCGGAGCTCTCTGGACGCTGGGCCTGCCGCTCCTCTGCTTCCTC